GACAACTCCTCCCTGGCCAACTTCTTCCAGAACCTGCTTACCCGCGGACAGTCTGGCGACGGGTGGTCGGGCGACGACAAAAGGCCCTGGCGAAAATACTGGGAGTTCGCGGTAATGGTTTGGATTTGCAGCAACGCGATGCCCGTCAGCACGCGGAAGATCTGCTTGACGAATCGCGTCAACACGCAGAGGGTGAGCGTGACGGCACGCAGCGAACGACATTTGCAAAACAGTCCAAGTGTATTCGCCGATGGCGTACGTACACCGGTCCTGGCCAGGCCCATCCTGCTCCCAGCATCGGTGCAGGTGCCCCCCTGGCCCGATCCAGGAGGGCATGCGGCACTGACCCTCGGCCTGGCGAGGACATTTGTGCACGTGGACGGCACTCCTCTCCTCTTTTCTTTACGGAATGGCAGATTGCATCAACATAGATAGGCCCTCAATCGATCCTCCGTCGATCGAGGGAAAATCGAAGGAGAAACAACCTCATCAAATAGCAGAAACTTTGGGATGGCCGCGTGGATTTTCTTGGTCCGCGCCGTAACCCCCCCTGGCGGCGGCGCCGCCCCTAGCGCGCGCTCTGCGCGCCATGGTAGGGGTGGGAGGAGCGGACATCCGAGAGTTTATGCCGGTGCGTGCTCTTGTTTGTTCCTCCAGGGGCAGCTCTTTGGTTCCACGCCGAGTCTTGAAGCCCCTGAGCCCGATAAACGGGTACCGGGGCGCAACGTATCGAGAAACAAATGCCGAGGGTTGAAAAAGCAAAATGTCGTTGGAGATCAGGGGATATCGTTGGAGATCAGGGCTCCCTTAAATCAAGTAAGGGGGAACGATAGGGGGGATTGGCCCAGAAGGGAAGCATCGATCCCCCCAATCGCACATTTTTCGCTCATCGGCGCCTGCGTGCCCCAGCCTGCCCAGGACCATATCGCGCCAGAGATCATATCGCCGATTCGTCCAGCTGCCTGCGGCAAGTCCCGCCACCGTACCAGCCCAGCATTCTGGGTGGCGACTGTTCGAGGGGGCGCGGGAGGCCGCCACGCGTGACACCTCGTGTTTCTAGGCTTGGGAGAGCCGTGATGGTTTGATGAGGATGATGTGAGTTTGATGCGCTGATGCGCCCCTCCCCCCTGGGCTCGCGTGGTCGGGTGTGTTCGATCGGTGGCCCGTCGGTGTCCCGTCGGTGTCGGTGTCCAGTCGGTGGCGCGGCAGTGTCCCGTGGGTGTCCCGGAGTGTCTCGTCGATGGCGCGGGGTGTCCCGTCGGTTGCGCGGCGGTGAGATCGATTGTGAGATCGATGATGCGATCTGTTGTGAGAGCGATAGTGAGATCAGTAGTGCCATCGATGATGAGATCGATTGTGAGATCGATCAATTGATTTTTGTGATATCGATGGTGATCTCGCTCGTGAGATCTATGCTGCGATCGACAGGGAGATCGAAACTGAGATCGATTATGAGATCGATTGTAAAGTTGATTGTGCGACCGATAGTGGGATCAATGGTGAGATCGATTGTGTGATTGATAGAGAGGCCGTGAGATCGATAGTGAGTCCGGATGTGAGATCGATTGCGAGTTCGATTGTCAGATCTATGGTGAGATCGATTGGGAGATCGATAGTGAGATCTGTTGATCGATCGATCGCGAGATCGTTTGTGAGATCGATTGTGAGTTCGATTATTAAATCGGTAGTGAGATCGACTGTGAGATCGATAGTGAGACCTGCTGTTAAAGCGATCGTGACATCGATGATGAGATCTGTTGTGACATCGATCGTGAGATCACTAGTGAGATCTACAGTGGGATTGACAGTGAGATCGACACTGTGATCGATGGTGAGATCGATTGTGAGTTCGATTTTCAGATCTATGGTGAGATCGATTGTGGGATCCATAGTGAGATCGACAGTGAGAACTGTTGTGAGATCGACCGTGAGTCCGAATGCGAGATCGATTGCGAGTTCGGTTGTCAGATCTATGGTGAGATCGATTGGAAGATCATTGCGACATGTAATGACATCGAAGGTGATATCGCTTGTGCTTCGAATATCGAATGGATAATACGATCGATTGTTAGATCGATAGTGGGATCTGTTGCGAGACCGATACAGGGATCGATTGCGAGATCGATAGTTAGACCGATAGTGTGATCGAGAGTTTGATCGATGCGAGCTCGATTGAATGAGACGTTGGTTCCTCCTCCCCCCTCCTAATCTCCATATCACCCGCAGGTTGGTCGTATAGGTAATGATGATGACGATTGTGGTGGTGGTGATAATGTCGAGAACGGCGATGATGCCGGCAATGATAATGACGAGGCCGATGACGTCGATGATGTTCTCGATGATGATGATGATGATGATGATGATGATGATGATGATGATGATGAGATTGCTGACGATGATGATCATAGTGGTGTTGGTGATGACATTGCTGATGAGTGTGATGGTGATGCTGGTGATGAACATGGTGACGACAACGTCGACGACGATCATGCTATGATGATGGTGATGTTAATAGCGATGTTGTAGTAGATGATGGTTGTAATAATGATGACTATGGTGGTGTTGGTGATGATATCGACTTCGACGATGTCGATGGTGATGATGATGGCGATGCCGATACCATTGATGATGATGGCGATGATGGTTGATGATGTTGTTGATGATGTTGATGTTGATGAGGGATGATGCTAATCATGCTGATGACGATGACGATGTCGATGATGATGATGCTGATTGTGGTGGTGATGATGATGAGTCTGATGCTGAGGATGATGATGATGGGGATGATGAGGGTGAGGATGACGATGAGGATGGTGATGATGCTGATGATGATGGTGATGTTGCTGCTGGTGTTGATGATGTTGATAACGATGAGGATGACCATGAACATGACGATGCTGATGATAATGATGATGAGGATGGTGATTATGATGGTGATGATGGCGATGATGACGACGATTCTGATGATGACGATGATGGTAATGATGCTTATGAAGATTGTGATGTTGATGATGATGCTGATGATGATGATGATGCTGATGATGATGATGATGATGATGTGGAGGAGGAGGAGGATGACGATGATGACGGTTGTGACGATTTGAATGATGATGTTGATGTTGTTGATGATGGTGATGACGTTGGTGATGATGATGACGCTGCTGCAGATGTTGATAATCATGATGATGTTATTGTCGAGAGTATCGTGATGATGATTATGATGTTGATGTTGATACAGCTGATCATCAGTATGCTGATCATTATTGTGGTGATCATGATGATGATGATGATGATGATGATGATGATGATGATGGGGACTACTACGACGATGATGATGCTGACGAGGCTGATGACGATGATGATATGTTTAATGATGTTGATGCTGATAATGATGGTGATGGTGATGGTGATGATGATGATGCTGCTGCTGATGATGATGATGATGATGGTGATGATGGTGATGATGATGATGATGGTGATGACGAGAAGGAGGAGGGGGAGGAGGTACGTCGTTTGGGCCGTCTTGGGGCTGTCTTGGCCTCCTGCTAGGCCGTCTTGGGGGTTCCTGAGGCCCTCTTGGGCCGTCTTCGGTCCCTATTATGCCGTCTTCGAGCACTCTTGGCCGTATGGTGTGTGTCCGGGGCTGTCGTGGAGCCGCCTTGACGTCGCCATGGCCCGTCGAAGGGCCTTCTAAGGTATTTTTGGGTCCCAAGGGAGGTTCTATTAGGCCGTCTTGGGGCCGTCTTGGATGCCTCGCCATCGTGGAGTCCTCTTGGGCCATCTTGACCTGACAGCAGCCCGAAAAGGCGAGCATGCGACACTTATTCAAACGTCCAAGGGCATCAAAGATTTTGGCTTCTTCTGACCCTGTTGGAGGTCCTATCGTAGCCAATTTGGGACCTCCTGGAGGTATCGTGGGCCGTCTTGCATTAATATTCGGCCGCCTTGGGGCCATCTTGGGCCAGCTGCGAGGCATCTTGGGCCATCTTGGTGTCCCTGGTTGCATACACGGGCCGTCTTGTAAGCTCGGGGCGCATATCCATCGTCTTTGACGAAGGGTCGTGGTTTGGGATGCCCTGGAGTGCCTGGGGGCAACGCCTGGGACTGAGGGTGGTGCACGGTCCTCGAGCGGGTGCACGTGGGATGAGGGGTCCGCGGGATATTGTCGACCTGGTCGCGTGGACAGACTCCGACTGGGCGGGCGACACGACGAGCGGAAGAGCCAGACCGGCGTGCACATCACCGCGCGTGGGTGTCCAATGTTCGGGATCAGTTGTCGTCAAGACGTGCAGTCCCCTAACAGCTGTGAAGCCGAGTGGCACGCTGGAGCTCGAGGTCTCAGCGAGGGACTTGGGCTGAAGGCGCTCTTCACGCTCATGGGCTACAGCGTGCGCTTGAGCTGGCGATGTGACAGCTCGAGCGCGCGTCAGGGCACCGGGCGGATCAAGCACCTTGCCACGAAAACGCTCTGGATTCAGCAGCTGGTGGCCAAGAAGATCATCATCATCATCGATCCCGTAGCTGGCGACGACAACCTGGCGGATCTCGGCACGAAGGTGTTGCCGAGGGCACGCCTCGAGTGGCTCCGTGAGAGCTGCGGACTGAAGGAGGTGCCCGTGCCAGGGACCTCGAGGGTAGCTGGAGTCGGGGCCATGCCGACCGGCTTCCAGGCCCAGTCAACCCTGCTGAAGGCGTTGCTTGCAGTGGCCGCGTCACTCCCCACAGCGGTGAATGGGGGGCACAACCGAGCTGTGCGAGGCACCGCAGGAGGTGGATGGGAGTGCGTTGACTTCAGTGGCCATGCCAGGAGTCATGACTGAGGGCTACTGCGTGGGCCTGGCTGTGCTGATGGCAGGCGTGAGCCTAGGGCTCTGACTTGCTTTGCTCGGATTTTCCTTGGCTTGCTGGTTTTGTCCGCGTGTGAGGCCGAGTTGGCGCCCCACGGGTGCCCCGCCGCGCGTTGGCGACGGCGGGAGGCCACAGCGCGCTCCGATCGAGGGATCGAGCGAGCCAGCGGTGAAACTCAAGACTAAGAAGGGCGACCGCAGAAGGACGGTTGCCACCCAGAGCCAGGTCAAGTACACCTGGTGGGCGACCAGCCCCTGTTTGCTGCCATTGGGACCGAGAGAACAGGGGGTGTGGTCCGAGTCGGGCCTCAAGCCGAGTACTGTTTAGATGTGCCATGGGCGCGAATCTAGACCTCCGCGACTACGCGTCGAGGCACTGCGGGCTTTGACCCAGGAGGGAGTGGTGACCAGAGGGGTGTCCGAGGAGGACGGGCTCACCACCCGCCCCCGCCCGGCCAGGAGGCGTGCTCAGGATCTTGAGTGATTCGGACGCCGTCAATTCGTAGCATACCCGCAGGCCCTTTTGATCGAGTTGCGTTGGAGGAAAAAAACCAACGATACGCTTTCCCCACGGATCCGCGTAACTTCCGCCAGAATAGATGTTCTGGCACTCGCTGCCATGCTGGAAGTGCACCATCCTCGAGCGGGCACAAACAAGTGGCCTCGGAAATGAGGGGCGATGCATGCGGCAGCGTGCGGCTAGAGAGGGGGGGTCCTTCATAAGAGTTCAGAAGACCTTACCAGACAGCCCTTGTCAATCTTCCACACCCCAAAGTGCCAGGAGGCACGGTGGCGGATGGGCGGTGTATTGTCGATTCCGGGTCATTCCTTTCCCCTCCTGAGCCAGTGCCCCTCCCATTTGAGGCTCCCCCCCAGGAAAAGAGACCGATGCCGATACCGCCTCTTTGGGCGTCCTGGGGGCCCCCAGTCACTACGGCTGGATTCGATTTTCCGAATCCTGGTCAGAGCGTGCCCCGGGAGAGATCCAGGGAGCATCGGGAGCGGTATCATGTGATTCCTCCACTGACGCAACCACATCGGGGGACGCCAACTATGAATCAATTCCGATATCACTCAGATTTGGGTTCCCTTCAGAGGCTTGCCGATCGACGTTCGATCCATACTCGTGCAGCTGGCCCCCACTGGATGCCAAGAGGAGAAGGGTATGGTTGAAAGGTCGATGCTTGGGGTGAGATTCTTATCCATGCCCTTACTTTGGCCCAACGGTTCGGAGACACGTTAGACCCCAGTTCGCCTGAGTTCGGGTTTGCCGACGTTTTCTAACGTGCCCGGCCTGGATTGGTGAAGTTTTCGTGGGATGTTTGCAGCTGGAGTTCGTGCCAAGTTTGAGACTGCGCCTTGTTTTTTTCCTGATGGCCCAGTCAGGCCGACCCGAGTCCCCCGAACCCGAGTCTCACTTTTCCCCGGAAGGCTGGATTCGGGCGGGAGCATGGGCACATGTGATTTTTTGTCCACATACACTGCGCCTCGGGCGTCTCAAGGATTGCAGAGGATTGGACACACACACACACACACGCACACACACACACACACACACACACACACACACACACGCACACACACACACACCGTGCCCGCGGCACGGATAGAACGTCGATCGCCAGAGGCGGACCTCCGTGCCGGGCTCCTCGCCGAGTACCCCCGCGCCCGGCCCGGGGGCGGCGCCTCCGGCGCCAGCGGCGGAGGGCGCGGCGCTGGGGCCCGCGCCCCTCGCCGCCGCGCCCAGCGCCGAGGGCTGAGGCCGCGCGCCACGGGTCGGAGGAGGGCCCGGCGAGACGACGGGTGCCCTCCGGAAAAACGTTTCTTTTCCCAGCCATGTTGTGGTGTTGGGTCTTCGTTTTGAAGAGGCGGCGCCCCGCGTTGCTTCTTTCCTTCCTCCACCGCCCCCTCCTCCCTCCCCCGTTGTCATCAGCAGCAGCATCATCATCGTCGTCATCTTCATCACCATCATCACCACCATCATCATGATCATCATCATGATTCACATCCTCGTTGTCATCATCGTCCTCGTCGCCCTCGTCGTCATCGTCCTCGTCCTCGTCATCATCATCAGCAGCATACCGTGAGCATCATCATCATTTGCAGCATCGTCGTCGTCAGCATGATCATCATCAGCAGCATCATCACCATCATCATCATCATCATCATCATCATCATCATCGCCATCGTCATCGACATCATATTCATCATCATCGTCGTCGTCGCCGGTATCATCATCAACATCATGGCCGTTTTTATCATCATCTCCTCATCATCATCAACATCATCATCACCATCACCATCGCCATCATCATTATCAGCAGCATTACCATCACCAGCACCATCATCACCATCATCATCATAATCAGAATCATCATCATCAGTATTAGTCTTAAGCATCGTATTGGGATTAGTCTTATTACTATCATCATCATGACCGTCATCATTACCATCATCGTCATCGCTCCCGTTTCGGCACACCCCTCAAACGTTTCGTGGCCCCGTACGAAGCTTCACATAAGGTCTCAGTGCTGCAGTTCGCATGTGGGCGTCACGCCCGTTTCGGCACACCCCAATCACACTTTTCGTCCTCGTAGGGAGCTCCACCGAAGGTCCCAGTGGCGCACTTCGTATGTGGGCGTCACGCCCGTTTCGGCACACCCCTCACACGTTTCGTGGCCCCGCAGGGTGCTCCACCGAAGGTACCAGTGGCGCAGTTCGCATGTTGGCGTCACGCCCATTTCGGCACATCCCACCACTCGTTTCGCGGCTCTATAGAAAGCTCCTCCGAAGGTACCAGTAATGCAGTTCGCATGTGGGCGTCACGCCCGTTTCGGCACACATCCCTCACACGTATCGTGGCCTCATAAGGAGCTCCACGGAGATCCCAGTGGCGCAGTTCGCATGTGGGCGTCACGCCTGTTTCGGCACACGTCCCTCACACGTTTCGTGTCTCCGTAAGGAGCTCCACCGAGGGTCCCAGTGGCGCAGTTCGCATGTTGGCGTCACGTCCGTTTCGGCACACCCCAGACCCTTCGTGGCCCCGTAGGGAGCTCCACCGGAGGTCCCAGTGCTGCAATTCGCATGTGGGCGTCACGCCCGTTTCGGCACACATCCCTCACACGTTTCGAATCCCCGTAGGGAGCTCCACCGAAGGTCCCAGTGGCGCAGTTCGCATGTGGGCGTCACGCTCGTTTCGGCACACATCCCTCACACGCATCGTGGCCTCATAGGGAGCTCAACCGAAGGTCCCAGTGGCGCAGTTCGCATGTGGGCGTCACGCCCGTCTCGGCACACCCCTCACACTCTTCGTCGCCCCGTAGGGAGCTCCACCGAAGGTCCCAGTGGCGCACTTCGCATGTGGGCGTCACGCCCGTTTCGGCACATCCCTCACACGTTTCGTGTCCCCGTAGGGAGCTCCACCGAAGGTCCCAGCGGCGCAGTTCGCATGTGGGCGTTACGCCCTTTTTGGCACTCACCTCACACGCTTCGTGGCCCCATTTGAAGCTCAACCGAAGGTCCCAGTGCTGCAATTCGCATGTGGGCGTCGCGCCCGTGTCGGCCCCCCCCCCCCGCAGGTTTCGTGGCCCTGTGGGAAGCTCCACCGAAGGTCCCAGTGGCACAGTTCGCATGTTGACGCCACGCCCGTTTCGGTACACCCCTCACACGTTTCGTGGCCCCGAAGAGAGCTCCATCGAAGCTCCCATTCGGAGGGTTCACGTGGCCCCCTCCCCTAATTGGCATGTCCCTCACTCGTTGCATCGCCCCACAGGGAGTACCGCCGAAAAAGAACCGCACAACTCCGGCACTCACAACTGCATATAGTTGAATCCCTCGCCAGGCTAATGTAATTCCTAGGTAATAACAGGCGATAGGCGACGGTATCGTCGCGTTTCGCGCCGGTGCCGCGTGGGAGCGTCAAAGGCATAACCACAGACAGCTCGGACATCATCACGAATCGTGACGTTGCCTGGGGGGTGGGCGGCCGGGGCCGGTAATCAGTTAACGGCCGCAATCGCGAAACATGTGAAAACGTTTTCCAAACGAGACGACGGTGGCCTTCGACTGCGCGGGCCGCTGAAGACGTCTGCTTGCGCTTGAATTGCGCAACAGATGCGACACATGTATACAAGACGGATGTACAGAACAGCTGAAAAACAGCTTCTCGTGGCTAAATAAAGGCTTGCTGATTCGCCCTGGCAGCCAAACCAGTGAAAGTAAGAAAGGAAATGGCAGCTACTGCGATCGTCGCCCTGCTTTGATCCTGGCTAGCGAGGCGCAAGTTTGGTTTGCTAGTGTTTAGAAACTTACGTAACTAAGGAGGATCAGACAGTGGTTAGCCAATCTAAGCTGTCTAGGTTCGCCTTTACCAGGCTATCCAGTCAGCCCGCTAGGCCAACCAGGCTGGTAATCCACTTAGTTTCGGTGGCTTGGGCGCGAGGAAAGGAAGGGCCAGGGGTGGGAGGATGGAATATCGGGGTTTTCCTCCAATCAGTTGCGGCGCATGCGCGTCGCGGGAATAGCCCCGCGCGCCGCACGCCCCGCATTGGCCTCGAGGTGGTGCGCGGAAGAGATCGGATTGACCGCCCTGCCACGCAGGCGCGCGGTCACCGATCGAAGGCGATATCGATCATGGGAGGGGGGGGGGGGGGAAACTGGAGGTGATAATAACCGCATCGCGGCGTGCTTGAGTGTCTCATTCACTTTCGCGGCAGCCAGCTCGACGCTATGAGCACGGGGGGAACTGGCGGCGGCGGTGGCGCGCTGCTGGGGGGCAGCGCGACCGACCAGCTTGCCGCTCCAATGCTCAGTGCCAGCATCTATGCACGTGATGTTACCCGCCCCGTGCTCTTCGCCTTAAATCGCAGGGTGTGTCTAGCTCTTCGGGCTCAGCGGGCATCCAGAGCTTACGGGGCTCATGAGTCCGCGTGGATCCGAGGGTTCATAGGACTCAGATGGTTTATGCGGCTTGATCCTCAGTTTGTACACAAAGGCTTAATTAGCCCATGTGCTTGAAATTATCGCTGCCCACTTGCGCGGGCCCCCCTGGCGCTCTCGCCCCGTCCGCCGCGCAGTTAGGTTGACGGCGGCGGCCTTTCTTGCAGTGATTGCGAACAGGCCCGAGCGCCGTGGCGGGCCACTTCGCGCGCGCCCCCGCTGGCCCCCTGTTCGATGGCCCCGCGGGCGTCGTCTCCTGAACCCGCGTTGGGGGGCCCCTGGAGGGCGCCCCCGAGGAGCCCCGCCTACCCTGACTGCGTCGGTTTGGGAGCGGCCTGTTGGAAAGTCCTCCTCCTCATTCTCCTCCTCAATTCCCCTCCGTTCGATTGCCTTCCCCCCCGCCCCTGCCCGTCCCGCGCCCCGCGTCGCCGCAGATGGCCGTCGTGATCAGGGGGCGATGCCCCCTTGATGAATGGGATGACGCTAGCGTGGATTTCAAGAAGTTCGGAAGATCGGCTTCCGAAGGCAAAAGGGTTCCTGTCCGAATCCAAATTCTCCTTGCTCGCGGCAGCGATTGAGTT